CTCGTATGCATGATTGAGTGGTTTTTGGGATGAAAATGGGCTTTTGAATGTCGCTTTCGGGTGAATTTCTGGTTGTGAATGGAGCATTCTCTTGTAACTTGTGAAAGCTAACAATTTTAGTGCCTTAAGTGGTATGCCTTTCGGAGTTGATGGATGGAAGGAGGCATTATGTTGATGTTCCTATCTCGAGAGCGTTAGTAGCACTGAGCATTAGGACAGTGAGATCTCTTAGAGATCCCTCAACCAATTCACTGAGCAAGTTTTCTCCTTTGGTGGAGAATCTGAACTGGGAAACGAATTCAAACAATGCAATTACTTTGGCTTTTGGAAATAAGCCAAAAGAATTTGTCAATGTTGAAACATGCATGTTTGATTTTGAAGACCGGAGGCTAGATGATGAAAGGGATTGCCATGGAAATGGTCAACAGCTGTACTACTCGAGAAAATCTAATGCCGAGTTAGTCTCACATGAAGATTCTTGATTTTAATGAATTCGGTTAACCCGAATTCATTACCAATTCGAATTTGAAAGCGGTTTAGATTTCTGTAAGTTTAATAACCGAATTTACCGAATTCATATACCCGAATTACCGAATATGCACCGTTTGCTCACCCCTAGTGGTAGGGGAAACTAGCAACTTAGTAAAAATGTGAAACAATATCTATGTGCTAGAGCTTACATTTGGATTAGTTTGGCTGGCTATGTTTAACAAGAGCTGATGGACAACCTAAACTGCTGATCGTGTTTGGGACTCTACCTAGCCCTTGATTTTGAGGCTTTTCCTCAATTGCATTGGTAAAGAGGATTGTTTTTGTTGTATATCCTTCCACAAGCACTTCATTTCATTAGTAATTAGCTATTATCAGAATTTTGTTTGAGAAGTTATTTTGGTGATGAGAAGTTGGCAAATTTACTCTTCATGTAAGTATGTTGGTTATGCTTCCATTGTGATATCTTGCTCAACTTTGGCATCATCAATATCTGGTTATATTATTAACTCAATGCTGTTCTTCCAGAATGATACTGGACTCACAGAAGAAGTTTTGAGTTCGATTTTTTTGTTCATTTCGTGTTTCATGTTTTTCCATTACTACTGACCAGGAAATGGTGATATTTTATTCTTATTTCATGACAGAAGTTTCTCCTCCGCCGTCTTTTAATTGTTTGTGATTTAATTGTAATTAAGGAGATAGACAAATTCTTCTTGTAGTTTCTATGACGTTTTTGTCTTTTTGGCATGTAATTATACGATAAATACTGTAATATGTATGTGTTATAATATGCATGCATTACAAATGGAACTGTGAAGAAAAGGCTATTTGTGTTTTCTAGACAACCCTTGTTAACTTCATACCTAAAGCAACTTACATGTTATCTTTTGAACATTTTTATCTTTAGCCTACAGATAATAAGTATGTCCTGCACAGGTGTGTATGCATCCCATTTTCCTGGTCATTAAAATTCTTTGTTTTGAGTTGTACAGCAAAATCTTAATTGTATCAAGAATGGTTGCCATTGAAATGATGGCACTGCAGCTCCTTACAGATGTTTTTTTAAGAGCCAAAAGTGCATAAGATCTTAGCAATGAAGTGGAGTTCTAGCTAGCTATATGCAGTAGACACTTGTTTAGAATTTTCGCAATTGAAGTATCACTAAGGTGAAGAATCTTTCTCTGACAGTTAAAATGAAGCATATTCTGAAGATTCTGGCATTGCTAGTGGCTATTTCTGCCTGCTGGATTGGCCTTTTACAAGCGTCAGTAATTCCAGAGAGCTATACGTGGTTGGTGAGCTTCTTCTTCTTATCTTGGTTATTTCTTCACATATCTTCATTCTCTTTCTCATATTATGGGATTTAGCTGACAAATTGTCTTTGGTACCCAAGTTGCCGCTCTATTTCATTGTCTCTCTAGGATGCTATGGCGTCTTAATGGTTGGAGTTGGCCTGATGCAATTTCCAACTTGTCCTCAAGAGGCACTTCTCTTACATCAGGTACTTTTACATTATTAATGTTCACTAGACAAGTTGCGGATCATGCTGCTCTTGTGTGGATTATAATTGGCAACTGGTGGAAATCGCCAGCTTATCCCCCCAACATGCCTCTTTCCATTCAGGAAACCTAAATGAGGAATAAAATATTACACATCTGCTCTTTTTTTTTTTTTGGCTGAAGAAGCTTGGTTCCGGGGGCTGCAAAACAAGCAAATTTAGAGTCAGATGTGTAAATCAATGAAATTGTCTTTTCTTTTTCTTTTCGGATTTATGATATACAGTTTTTCCTCGTGTAGGATATCCTTGAAGCCAAGGACTTCCTGAAGAACAAAGGGGTAGATGTTGGTTCCAATTGATTATCATGCTGGAGTTTTAATATCAGATAAATATGAGAAGTTTTAACTCAAAGGAGTAAGCAGGCATATCAATTGAAGAAAGGAGCAGAGATTTTTGAGTTTCGCTGAATCAAGTTCTAATATTTGACTTGTCCTAAATGCATTGGTCCATGATGGATTTTGGCAGCGCATTATTTGGTTGAGCTTTTTGTATGATCCGCCTGGTCATTTTCAGATGCCCATATGGATCATTTGGCTCCCCTGCCCCTTACTTGAAGCTTTTCTTGCTACTTCTCTATGTTAGACGTTTTTTTTTTCAAGGTAACAAAATGATTTTTGTTCCGTATTGTATACTAATTTGAGTTGATCATGAACTCTCCTTCTCATAAAATGCTTACTCCTTGCCGATGTTTTGTTTGGCAGAGTACTGTGTATCATGATTGCCAATAACAGAAATAATTGACTCAAAATTTTCATACTTATCAAGCCATTGCCAGAGCTAATTGTATGGTACTTCATCTGCTAATAATTGAAAAGCATATAGCTCATAGTTTCGTCAAAATTCAATAGGAAATTGTGCATGTCCTTCTGATATAGGTTGACTTGTAAACTGTTAACACAAAATATGAAGATTGTGACTATAGCCCTTTTTTTTTTTTGGCAAATATGGTTGTTTGTCATGATGGTTCACTTTTAAACTGATAATTTGGGTCAAGTTCTAAGCTACAAATATAATCACATTACACGACAAAATAGAATTCATGCATATGCGTGTGCATAAATACTAGTACACATATCAGTTGAACTTCAAAAGAAGAGTATTTCTACTTCATATGTGCTTATACGTATATTAATCAATCTTTAAAAGAACTATTCTATTTCTCTAATTTTGAAGTTGGTCAAATTTTATGCCCCTGAAGCATTACATCAATGAAACCAAAACATTCTTTGGAATCACATATTCTACAAAATCATATTGTAAAATTCATTTTATCATAATTATCATCAACTAATTCCCTAGCTTGATTTATTAAATTTTTCCAAAAAAACAATTTATTACAACAAGAAGTATATGTTCTTTCAAACACTACTATTCTTTGTTTGCGGTAAATTCTTGGATGGACCCAGTCTTCCACCTGGATACAGATCAGGTGGAATTAAACAGCTACGCTGATCCTAAATTTATTTCATGTTTATTGGAGTAATTTTTATTCGTTTATTTTGGGTTTGAGGATCTTTATAGGGTGAGATGGGAGCTTTGGACTTCGGATAAAAAACCAAAAAAAAAAAAAGCAAGAAGAAACCTGGTTGTGAAACATTTTCTTGACACGTGGATGTGTTCGTAAAAGAAGGGGAAAAAAAAAAGGGTTAATTTTAGAAACCTCCATGAGGTTTGTAATTACTTCACTAGCCTCTCCTGAGGTTAAGATTTTAGTAACAAAATTAGTTTAAGTCATAAAAAAAGTAACATTAAAATACTACTTTAAAAAGATATGAAACTTTCATTCCAAAAATATATCTTATCCATGTATATAAGTTGTATTAATAAAAAAATAAAAATAATTAAAAGTTAAAAACAATTAACACACATATATTTACTATTTAAAAAGTCCATATTCAATAGATTAGACAATACAAATAAGTAACAAAATTACACTAATTATCAAAAGATTCAGCAAAACAGACCAGTTATATCTCTTAATATGAGGTTTGCTATAATTTTTGTGATTTTGAAAAGAAATTTTTTTTAAATTTTACTTTACTTTTTCGCTCTTTTCTCCTCTAGTTCCACGAAATTAGTTCACAACTTTAAGAGTTTAAAAGAAAATTTCGTCGTAAAAGTGTTTGGATACCAAAATTATCCCAAATAATATATTGCTTGCATCACAAACACATTTCCCAACCTATCTTTTTATATTCCCAATTATTTTTTATCTCACATACATCACATCACAAAAAGTGCTACAGTAATTATTCCAAATAATATTTCAAATAATACACTATCCAAACAAACCTACGTGCTTGTTTTATTTACTGTTATTATTAGCATTTATTTTGCAAGGTCCGGTAGCGACTCTAAGCATTTATTTGTTCAGTCCTAATATGTGACTGTGGACCCTTCCTCCTCCCTCCTCCCTCCTCCCAGCTGCCACCGCTGAGCAGTGCAGTCCAGTGCAGCGTCTAACATCTCAATAAAAGGTAACCGCCTCTCCCCCCCCTTCCCTCTCTGTATTTTCAGGATAACATTGGTCTTGTTTTACAAGACTTTGCTTCTTGAAAGGAAGAAGAAGAGGGGAAAAGAAACAATTGAAAGAAGAAGGAGAAAACCCCCCTGATAAATTCAGTCTTTCTTAGCAAAGATGCTTTTTCTGGATGTTAACTAGATGTTATTAAGTTTTCTGTTTAATTTTAACAGAAATAAAGTGAATGGTTGTTATCTTTCTGCCACTGTCCCTTTCGAGAGCTTGAATTTCTAAACTTTACCACCATCTTGATTGAATGTATGTTGATTTTCTCCACGTAATCATGTAGCTACTTTTTTTTTCCCACTTGTTAATTTGTGTTTGTATTTTTTTCCCCAGAGGAAGCTTGTTTTTTCTTGTTCCCTTTTTTTTTTTTTTTTTTTTAAATTTGGGTTTTGGGAAGTTTCTGGTGGTGGGGAGAGGGGGTGCGGTTGGTTGTTTTCTGTGGTTGTGGTTAACCTGAGAACATTCATTTCCATGTTAATTTGATCCTCTATCTGCATTTTCTTTATGTTACCTTATCAGATTGTGCTTAGCTAAAATATTCACGTTCTATTTCATTCATTCATTCATTTGCATTAGCACATGTCTTTTTGACAATTGTGCTAATCATTACCAAAGTATGAATCTTTTTAGGGATGGTAAGTTGTTAAAGTATGTTTGCCTGAATTTGCATTATTAGGTAATTATTTACTTTGTTCTGATGTGATCACGTGGATCTTAAGTCCATTTGTATCAGAGCACAATCATTTTTAATTTGTTAAGATCCAGCTCAAATGATACCCCAAGAAGTAATTGAATTCATGCACTCACTAGCCATTTCAAGAATTCTACAACCATCATATGGTGATGATGAATGATTGTTATGTTGTTCTGACATGACATGTTAAACTTAGAGTTTTCTGTAAGACTTAGACATTGAAGGCATTTTTTTCCAATAATCACCTGTCCTAATTTGGTTAACTTTTTTTCCCACCTGCACTGTCCATCTTGTTGAAAAGCCAAGCTTAAACTTTAGGCTTTGGTATTCACAAATATTATCCATTATCAGACATGAGGCTGGAGATTTAAGAAATTTTTGCATGCTAGCTAGTCACATCATTAGAATAGTGCTAGACATGTGGAAGGCAGTGGTATGAGTGCAATAATATCTGAACATGTTTTCTTCACTATTATTTTCTTTCTTAAGATCTGTCCAAATGCGTGATCTTTTGCTGGTTTAGAAAAATTAATCGCTTTTGACATGAGAAGATTGGTTCTTATTGAACAAGATTCTATAAGATAAGATTGTTCAATGAACTGTTGTTTTATTCATCTTTGCCTTAGAACCAGATAAATCTAGTAAGTTTCATAACGGATTATGATTTTATTACCGGCACTCAACAGCTGATAATTTGTCACCTTTGAAATCCTTTATGTTTTCTATTTCCTATTCGGAGAATATTGGTGTTAGTGCATTTTTCACTTACAGATAGATGGGAAAAAGTAGGGTCTTTTCATATAAGTTAACAGCTTCCTAAGGGCTGAGGCTCTCTGCAGGCGACCAGACGGGTTAGAGAGAGCATGGCTGCTGCCAGTGGCTCTGATTTATCTTCAGAAATGGAGGTGGATGCTTTTAGACGTCTTTTCCCTCTGAATTTTCATGAGCGCCATCTGCTTAAATCTATTAGACCTGATGGCAGGACCCTTGGAAAAGCTAGAGATACAATCATATCCCTTGGTCAGTCCAGGTTTTATTTGCGTAAAGCTTTCTAAGATTTGCGGATATTACTATTTTCACCTAATTGCAATTGGTTTTGTTGTAGGAGCTGTTACATCGGCAAACGGATCTGCACTAACAAAGATAGGCTGTACGGTAAGTTCTTATGCCACAGTGCTAACATGTTATTTTATTTTCTTACAGTTTAGGCTTTTGACGTAGAATCTAACACACGTCACTTGTTTGATGCTTAGACCATGTTGGCTGCCATTAAATTGGAGGTTATGACACCTACAGTGGAGTCACCAGATGACGGATGCATAGGTTCCTCTTATAGCCTCTTATCATCCATAATTCTTTAATGGTTAATTGAATACTTAAACGTGCAATTTTGTACAGCTATAGATTTTCATATGCCCCCAATATGTTCTCCTATTGTTCGGCCTGGGAGGCCAGCAGAGGCCGCTCCAGTTGTGGCAAAGCAGTTATCTGACACTATTTTGAGGCAAGTCATGGCAACACCTTGATACCTGCAATCCACTCCTTTTCTAGTTGATAAACTACTTCCTCTTTTAACCTAGTTTTTACGTAGTATTGGATAATGATTTTGAATTGCCCATGTAAAAATGCATTTTCTCTTGTAATCCATTAGAGATTGCAAGAGGTCTTACACACCGTAAATTGCAAGCTTAGGTATTTGTGGAAAAAGTCAAGCAATTAAGCTTGGTGATTAGTATTTCAGTGCGTTGTTAAACATTTCTTTTGGTAACATTAGAAACTTTTGCATTTTCTACCTAATACAGAGTGCCAGACCTCTTACATCTTCATGCATTCTGTTTCTGGATATCTATTTTCTTGTCTTTGCTGATTGTTTGGTTGAATAATTTATAGTTCTGGCATGATTGATTTGAAAGAATTGTCTTTGGTCAGTGGGAAAGCTGCTTGGATGGCTTACCTGGTAATGAATTTTGAGCTGCAACTGTTACATAACCTTTGTTTTTAGTCCCTTTAATTAGTCTTGTGTCGAACTGAACTTTGTTGTGATTTCCTTCACGAAGAAGTGTATTCTCAGACTTGTGGTTTAAGCGAATATAACCGCTTATTTTGCCAACTTATGATGGCACAGGACATATATTGTTTGGATGCTGATGGGTCCCTTTTTGATGCTGCATTGCTTTCTGCAGTTGCTGCCTTTTCACATTGTAAGTTTATCTCTTGATTTCCTATCCTGATAACTTATCAAAAATTTTCAGTTCTTCCCCATTTTCTCCCAGTAGAGTAATGACACAAGAGAATATCTGAATGAGTAATAATGGGAAACAACCCTTGCTTGATGTGTTCACTCAACTTTTTTTCTTTTTAAATTTTTTTCTGTCTTTCATGTTTGTCAACTTCAATTTGTGATTGGCTGTGTGAGGAATTTAGTTTAATCATGATAGGAACTGCCATAAGTGTAGGTTTTAATCCCTCTAATTCTTTTGTTCCTTGAAATATAGCCAGCTTGCCCGCACTCAGCGTTGGTCAGATTTTATACATTTTATTGCCAAGTCCTGGTTCTCCTAGATATTTTTTGTTTGCCACCTTGAATAGGGTCCTTAAATATAGTAGCCTTGGGATGAAAGTTTTCACCCACTGTCTCCTGCAATCTTTTTGCTCTTACCTACTCTTCATCTTCACACCTTCTGATATGCACAAAAGTTGGTTTTTATGGAGCTGGTGTTCACTAAAAGACGAGATTATTCATCTCTGTAATTTAATTGGATTGGATGGCAAAACTGAGGCTTCTGGTATTCCATCATAATTCTTGCATTATAGAAGATTGTGCTATGTAATTCTTGAGGTTCACATGCTACCTGCTTGTTTACATGACTTCCGTTGCTTGCAGTGCAAATTCCTGTAGTTTCTCTGAATGATGAGGGAAGGATTGTGCTTATTTCTGAGGATAATGGGGGAGGGAAGTTGGAGAAGGAGCCAGTCAATAAAGAAAAAAGGAAGCTCAAGTTGGCTACAATACCATTTTCCTTAACTTGCATACTTCACAAGAATTACATCCTGGCAGATCCTACAGCAGAGGAAGAATCCATAATGGAGACACTTGTGACTGTGGTATTGGATTCCTCCAGTCAATTGGTTTCTCTTTACAAACCAGGTGGACCAGTTCTTGCCCAAACGTCAGCTATTCAGGTTAGGCTACATTGCCTTGAGACGGGAAATAAGATTCCATAATGTTTCTGTAGCATGGAAAAATGTTTAGCTTTCTACTCATTTATTATGGCTATCCCTCCCACCTGCATATTCATCCTCTTTCCTTATACCAAGAGAAACTGCTGACGAAGTTCAAAACTGCAGGATTGCGTTGCATTAACAAGACAGAGACTGAAGGAACTTCAAAAGATCTTAAATGAAGCAATTTCTGATATGGAGGTGGACTAAAAGCAGGAGTAACTTGTGAATCCATCGGTATCTAGGTTTTAATGGTATTCGTTTCTTCATACCCTTTAGCTTCCTTGGTTGAGAATGAAATGAGCAGCAAAATATCACAGAGGACTGTGTTTTAGCCAATCTTTTTGCAGGGATTATAGTTGGAGAGGAATTAGACAAATAGCAATTTCATGGTGAGCTTGTAAAGGATCCTTGTGACTGAAACTTTTCTTGACCTTTTTCTAATTTTGTTCTATCTTCATGTCAGATTTACTGATATTTAGATAACACACATTCACCCAATTTGGCAATCGGTGATGGTAAATCTGAACGTTTGCCTTTTCCTTTTTTTGCACAAAACACGTGTGAAGAAATTTGGCATTATGTTAAGTTTTTCCCTTTAGTGCATTCAATAGAAATGCCCAATATGATTATTAACCACTGATCCACATTTAGCATTTGAGAAAACTGCAGCTTTCTTTAGTTCTTACAGCATAGTAACAATTTTCTGATATTGTCCACCCAAATGCCTAGTCTCATGAAAAGCATATGGATTATACCTATTGAATGAGGTAAAACTTCACGAGATATCGTGCATGGTTTTTCAAACAAAACCATTAAGTTGTCTACATACATATATTACATACATACATGTCTCTGTGTGTGTGCTAAGGTGTGTGTGTTTTCTATTTACATCTTGTAAGGAAGCATTTGCATTTTCTTCCCCCAACCCGAAACCTGCCAAACAAATAAAGGATAATGCAGTGGTGAAAGTTTGTGTAAACTTTTTGTCAAGAGACCGGCCTCCTTCAGTCAAATCTTATCTTTTCCTTGATCGAAAGAAAAGAAATACTATATGGACATTATGTTTGTTTTACAGCTATATAAAAGTTTCTTTCATTTGTAATTTACTTTTTTTTTGAATGACAAATCTAGAATACCAACTAATATACCAACTCTAGAATGTTAACTAAAACACTCTAAATTTACAAATGTAAAAGTTTCTCTTTCTAGAAATTTAAGTATCGCAAAATATTGGATCAATGCGACAAAAGTAAGGGTGGGGAGTGTTGAGGAGGGGAAACTGCCCCCCAAAAGTTTGAAGAATTTAATTTGGACAGCTATTTTTTTGAGAAATTGTACAAATATTAAGTTCCCCCCCCCCCCCACACGAAAACCTTGATAAACTTGAGGATGAATTACACTATTAATTAAGTGGTTAATTTTCTAAAAAATTGTTTTGGAAGTTTAAATTTTTAGAGATATTTAATATCTATTATTTCAAGTTCTGTATTACTGTATTATGGTACTAATTTAATATATTTGACTTTAATATTTATATTTTTAGCTTAGTATTTCCTTCAATTACTTGTACAAATTTAGCTTTAGTAATTGCTAATCTTGAGAAAGAAATTTTGGTACTAGCCCTTAATTTAAGAAAACTGAAAAATGTGTTAGGGACAAGGGAGAAAATGGGGGTCGTAGCATGCATGAATCTTAGAAAGCTTAGACAAAGGTTAAGGGAGCGGACGGCCGGGGGTTTGAGTCAGTGATGCAAAAACAGGAGGATGCTTCATTACTATTCCTGCAAAATACATACATTTCAATCGGCAAATGCACATCTGTACATATGCCACATTTTGTTTTTGAGCTTAATTTTTATCATAAAAAGCTCTAGATTTCTGTTTTTTTAATTAATGGACCTTTTTTTTTTTTGGTAGATTGGCATATGGGGGATGCAACTAGTTTTCGTCATGCATTTCATTTTTTGCAGTCCCAAAGTCTAAATCCTAGTTACACCAATTCCTTGCAGGTTAAAACTGTGACTCTTCCCGACTAAACTATATACATGGTATTCGAAAAACTTTTGCTCTTTTGTTCTTTGATTTATCCCCCATCTCCATACAAAGACGCCAATTCCTTCTCTGATGAAAAGCATATGGAATAAAAGATCAGTTGATATGCTTGATTCTTCTGCAAACAGAAGCCCATCTCAAAATATATATATATTTTTTGGGGTGAATGGAGGAACCAAAGTAGAAGTTTTTTGTTTGATGACGCCTTCTTTGCCTGCTAGGCAAGAGGACAGCAAGTTACAAATTCTGTCTCGGTAGGACATGTATTTCTATTACTATGAAATTCATAAATATTCATAAATGAAGTAGCTAGTTAATGGTGGGAAAAATCGAAGATTTCACATAGTACTTTTTGATCGGAAAATCAATCTGATATATTTCGTATGGGTCAAATTCTACAGGATAATGGACTAATTCACCTGTAAGTTTATCTTGAAACTTTTTTGCCTTTGGGGATGGTCTCCTGTGTTCTTGGTATCATTCCTACGGCACATCACCCATGTCAGGTAGAAATGTCTAAACTAGCCGGCAAAGCAATGGAGAAATGCATCCGAGTTCCAATACTGATAACCCCATTTTGGGTGACAGATGGTCGGTCTCCTATGTAGTAGTACATTTTACCAAAGAAAAGAAAGTAAAAGTAGTGCATGAATAAATTAACTCCTTCAATATTTGTGGACCAAACTTTGAGTGTTAACTAATGCGTTGAAAGATCATAGTGTTGACAGGATCAAGCTTATATTTCTAGACAATTTCTTGAGGATTTATTCAAACATGTATGGAGTTTTTTTTTTAAAAAAAACTTTATTGTCATATTGAAGGAGACATGAATCGACCTAAATTAAATGCATTTGGAGGAAAATCTATGTAGGGCGCTTTAAAAAGCTAAAGACAACAGTAAACAGACTTGCATTTTTTTTTAATAACTCGTTTTGTTTACATTCAATTCGATATAAAGACGAGCAATTTGTTCTAGAATGCTAATTTCTCTTATATTTTATATTTTCTTGGCCATAACGCAAAATATTTTCAAAAGTGATTAAAAAAAAAAAAGATAATGAAGCCATTAGAATAAATTTGAGCAAATCCCCCAAATAGTGCTTCAACATTTTTACTAATCTACGTTTGGTCTCCATCTTGAAAATGGGACATAATGGTCCTCTGACAGCATTTTTTAATCCAAATTGTTCCCTATGTCGCGGAATAAAGAAGAAATTCAAATCTCACCACTACTTTGGTCCAACTTTTTCTTGACAGCTCTGTCAAGAAATTGTTTAGAAAGTAATTTATTTACAATAGGCTAATTATAAGTTTCTTTAATTTTCTTTAATTGTTGAGAGGAGATTTTTTCATTTGTTTAACCAATAAAAAGTTTTGCAAAGGAAACCAATCAAGGACTGGTCCAGTTTTGCGCTTGTGTGGGCACGATTTTAGGTTTTTTTTTTTATGAATTAATTTTGTATACACCAACATCGTATATACTAGCAACCTTCAGATACATGTCACTTAAAATATAAAAAATTCTAAAATGTGAAAAAAAAACCATAGTAAGAAGTTATTAAGAATCAAATTATATAAAATGATAAATTAAGAAAAAAGAAGAAATTCTTACTCCCAAAATTTATAGTATGTAATAAAGATTTATGGAAAGTTATTTGTTATATTAGACAAAGGTACTTTCTAACAGATGTCTAGAGTGAGCACGCATTAGTATATTTAAAGTATACGTAACTTATCAGGCAAATGAACATACTTACATTTATACATACTTGATATAAATACTTTTCCAAATTAACTATACTCTTATTAAAAATAAACACTCTTAGCAAGTGCCACCGGGCATCCATTAGGTAAACTCTCAAAGAAAATTACCTCTTTTAGGAGGTTTCGAACTCGAATACTCTCACTTAAAAAAAATGATTGCCATGCAAATAAGTTACTGAAAATGAAAGAGAAATAAAAAGAAAAGAGCAAGCATATCAAGACTCAATTTGACTGGCAGAGATTTTAATCTAGTTATTATAAAATTCCTGTTTTGACTCTCAAATTATTTCCTTCACATCCTCCCTTGTAAAGTTTAAAGTCTCTTAAAAAAAAGATGATTTCTCCAACCAAATTTCAATCTTCAATATAAATTTACTTTCAACAATTGCTAAGGACCTCAATTCCATGGTTTCCGATCACGCTAATTCGAATTTATTCAACAATTAGAAGTATTATTTATATATAGACTCTAAAGTAATAAATTGATATTAAAATAGCAAATAGCCATAATAAGTATTGTTTCTTCGTGGGATGCAACATAATTTCAAACTTTCTTTAACTTTCATTTTCACCATGCAAAATACAAGCGGAGACGTATTTCCAACAATTATCACTCAACTAATGTCTACATTTATTATTTTAATATATAAATTGTCTTGCACAATTGGTTGCCACAAGTCAGCACGCTGCTCAAATTAATCCCGACTAATTTGAAATCAAGAACCCTTCTGAGGGGTAACTCTCCCAATATTATTTTTTCTAAATTAGTGGGAATTGAATCATCACTGACTTAGACGAGTGCACACTCCTTTGAAATCACTTTTATAATGGTTGGCTATATATAGTAACAGATGGTGGAAGGTTAAGGATTAAGGTTTAAATCCTTGACCTTCCATCCCACCAAGTCTTACAGATTTTGATGGTGGTCACTGAACCAAGCTTAGTAGTTATATCAAACTCTTTATCACTTGACCGAGTAATCGTTATTATGATTCTCAGCAGTATCCTTGTAGCAGTCAAAACTAGGAAGCAAGGTAAACTGAACAAAGAGGATGAAAAATTGCAAGACTACTTCTTTAATTTTTTTTCACCCTTTTCTTTTTCTTATGGGCATTTAGTGTTCTACGTGTCACTGTTAACCTGCCATGAGACCTAGGAAGGTTGGACCCATGGGAAATATCAATTAACTTTCCCGCAGGGACACAAACTAAAAAATCAGAATCTTTTCAAGCAAAAAGACCTTCCCTTCAAAGTTCAAATGTTACCTCTATAGGAAAAGTCTGAAGTAACGAGCGTTATGATAACGAAACTGTTTTTACCTGATATAACAGGTAAAAACACTTTTAGCGACCATTTGATTACCTGTTATACTGGTCATCTAAATAAAATAGTACCTAAAAATATGGTTAGTAAGTTTTACATTAAAAATAGTAAGTTAACTCAAGAAATTAGTAACTTTTATGTCTCAAAAAGTAAATTTGAAGAAATATGGAACTTACTTTTTTTTTGAAGTAGATAACTACTCTATATCTAAAACTTACTTTTTGGAGAGTAAGTTTAGTTCAAATAATAGTAAGTTTTTATAGACTAATAGTAAATATTGTTGATAGAATAGTAAATTTGGGTTAATCATCAAAACTTACTAGTTTATGGCATAAATTTACTATTTTACTTAAAGAAACT